GGGAGAAAATATGTGTCAGATTGTTGATGCCGTTTATTTTAGTGGTAATACATTTGTGGACGAAAATATTTACTTTATTTTACAAAATCTTAACAGTAGGCACCTTTGCTTGAACGACTTTAAGTGTGGAGAGGGTGATAAATATATTCCCTTAGGTGAGTGTGGAAATGATCGAGATAAGAGGGTCGGCTCTTAATCGTCCCATGTTAACGTAGCAGTGTCATTTCTTTACTAACTGAATCTCAAACTTAATCCTTCCCAGAGACTTTGCTATTACATTGGACTGAAAACTGTACATTTGCAACCCTTCTATTTTTTAAGAACAAAATGAGTACTGGGGAAAACTTTGATGGTTGATAATAAAAAACAAGTGGAATAGTGTAGGTTGCGCGGTAAATATGGCAGAATTATAGTGTATAAGGAGCCAGATCTTAAGGGGTAAAATTCGTCACTTGAGTATAAGATGACCCGCCAATTGACACTATCCACAATAGCACTAGTGTGCAGGCTCAAACACAATGTAAATATAAACGCGATTTCACTCTATACATTGATTAGTAGTCTTCAGTAGACCTACGGTAAGTGTCATGACTAAATTCTTGGTCTTTGGGCAAGAGCCTCGTCATATTGGTATTTCACAAATTATATTATTTACAGTACTAGACATATCCGCCCATGCTACGGAACAATCGTAGTATGGTCGAAACGACTGGAGTAGTAAATAATGTGAATATGTAGTGTAGGTACAATTTGACGAGTCTCTTATTCCAGTTTACATTGACGAAATGACGATCAGCTGATCGGCAAAGGCGTATTCGGAATGGAGCTAGCAAATCCTTGAAAAGAAATTATTTTTAAGATTGTCGTTATCCGTGAAACATCGTTTGCGACGAGAACATGTTTTAATACGGACTTGAAAAATGTGTAAAACATTAACCTAACACAAAATGGCTACTGGAAAAACTAAATATTAGAATGCAGTTTGTTTTAGCATAGTTAGATATGTAGATATGTATTATAAAGAGACTGTGTAGGCTACTGTTGCAAAAAATATTCCTACTCTATTGCCTATGCTAGTATGTTTTAAGGGAAGGTAATTTTAAACAAGAGGCTGAGCAAATGAAATGATTCAGTACTGTAATGAGAATTTTAGTTGCTGACTAAGTAAACTAAATCTGCATTGTTATATACATGAAACTGCCATCATACTTAAAATAAAGATTGATGATAGGAGTGAACAATAAATTAACATTTCGTCATCGGAAATCAATCAAAATGATGATTGAAAAGGGTTGATTGAACGATTAAAATTGCAGTGTTTACTCTGACAAAACTCGTTTTAATTTGGTTTTCACTGTTTCATCTCCTTCAATTTGCAATGATATCGTATTATAAGGGTTCTTATGGAATCCTTAATCAATGGTCATTAATCTAAAGTTAAGTAATGAAAACATTGTAGATCCAATTTTAAAATAGTTTTTGTTCTAATCCATTACTTTATAATAAGTTACAACACAGTGGTTAATAAGTCAAACAATAAAAAGAGTGAGAAATATAATTATTTTATACTTTATTAACTGTCTTACCGTAAGAGGTTGAAATCACAGGTGCATTCAGCTCATTCACTATGTAACTTTTGCACTTAACTGAAAAAGGGGTAGTCTTCAATAAATTCCTGCTATTTTAATGATAGTCCACATGATTTATCATAGGGAAAAATAAAAAAATAGGGAAAAATAGGGAAAAATAAAATAGGGAAAAAACTCATAGGGAAAAACTGGGAATTTGCAGAGATTTTGCAGGAACAATATTGAGTTTCCAACTTTGAATGTGTATTATCTGTGTAGTGAAAATCCAGGAGGTTCAAAGGTGTTAACAAATTTTACCTGATTCCTACCAGGGACTATTTCATCTCGGTTTTTATTTGTATCCACTAAATGCAAATACATATAATCTCCTTCAAATGATTGTAAGATTAAACTATTAATTTCGGCAACTGCATAGTTTTTTAAGGGCTCAAAACTACACGCTCTTGAAACCTAGATAGATAACGGAGAATTCATTTCATCTAAACGAAAAATCTTGGTGTGATTTGTCTAGGGGTTCTTTTAACAAAATATTTATTTGTTTCGACAGTATTTTTCCAGGAAACGGTACTACTGTAGGGTTAATACAGTACAAACACAGCTTGGCCTAACACAGATTTCACTGACGATTACTTACTTAAGTGGTCCAAGTTTTATGAGTAATACCCCGCTGTCTTAGATTTTGACGCCCCTAGCTCTTTGAAAGAACGGGTTGGAAATTAGGGCAGAATTTAACGCTAAGTTATAATAAATGTTAATGTTTGAATACAATTAGTGAATTAAATTATCCTGCTTGCCTTGAAAACTGTCTATGAAATTTAATTTCTATGAACGCTCTAATAATTCACATACATACAAAACAAAAAAGTGCAGCCAGACTTCAACTTTATTTGATGAAAACTGTAACTAGTAGTGCTTAAAATACGTAAGTAAATCGTAGAGGGTGAGAACTATTTATAAGGAATATACGAATCATATTTTGATATCCATACACGCTTGATTATATTTATAGACGATTTCTTATTTAGTATTTATTGTTCATTGTCAATTGATTTGTTTCCCGATTGTTTCACAATACAAGGCGACCGGCTTCTTCTTTAAAATTGCTGTAATTTACAAATATTAATGGTAAATCCAATTAAAACCGTTAGATATATAAATTATTATTAATATTAGATATAAAATGAAGTTTAAATTCAAATCAAACGACACATCTTATTCACTGAAATCGGATAATAAATAATTTAGTAGTAATAATTTCAATAATACCACAAAACATACCAAAATCATAGTTTTACAATTCAAATATGTGATGACATTATTAATTAGCTGTTGAAAATCCACTTCATGATTAATTTGAATCAGTTATTTATTAGTATGTACCATATTGTTATTAGATTTCTTTTTTTGTTTTTTGCTAAACAGTCTTATTTATTGGGATATTAAGGAAATTACGACGATACTTGGTTATTTTATATCTGATATTAGTAAATAAGCTGTCTTTTTATTTGACCTTCAACTGTGCACGTTTTACCTGTTCTGCGTATTTATAAAATAACAAAAACTTTATGTTTTTTTCTAATCTTATGTAGGTATTTATTTAAAACTGTCACACTTTTAGCTGTAAAGATATTAAAACCAATTAAATAGGCATATACACTGATTATTGTATTTAAGAAATTGTTGCATATAAAAACGTCATGATTAGTAAGAACTAGGTTTTCCTCAGGAGCCTCATCAGTTGAAAATATTAAATGTACTACAGAATTTAAGAATTATCTTAAACTAATAACAAGGACACCTTAGTGACACGGAGTAAAAAACTACACCATTTTTTACGGGTACAGATGATTATAGTTAATTTTGAAATGAAATCTATTTCCTTATTATTTAATATTAAAATATAAAATCACTACACGAGCTATACAATATTTTCCCTATTTGGTTTTAAAAGTACTGGCTTATAAGATATTGTATAAAAGTATGATTTAACGTCTCGAAGTTCATGTGTATTGGTCGACTAGATGCTGACGCTTAGTCCTGTAATATAAAAATTCGATTTCCTTGTGGGCTATTAGTAACGAATTAAAATAATTTGGAACGTTTCCTCTCAAATTAAAATGCAATGTAAACATTGACTATAAATTAAGTAAATACCCTGTGGCATATTGTTTTATTTAGATGAATGCAGGCTATATGTATTTTCTGCATTCTTCTAAATCCGGAATTTGTGTAAAAGGTTATGCTTGACAAACATATACTTGCATCTGCGAGTTCGATTGTTTTATAGAACAGTGTAGTTTGAAACAATAAAAACTTTTAAAACAATACAACCACAGTAAACATTGAATCTACTGAATCAAATGATTGAGGTTTAAAAGTTTATAATTTAGCTTCGACTTGATTTTTATACACTTAAGTCTCCTAGTAGTGAACGCGTAGTGATCTAGCGTAGTGATCTTTCGTCTCCTATGATTCTATCACTTTTGCTTCAGGTTTCGTATTTTAGAATTAATTTATTATAGCTACAAGGACTATGCCTACGTCTTGCTTTATGCATATTGTTCAATCGAAGTTGTAATGGTTAAAGATAGAATTAATTAGAAAAATAAATTAACTATTGAACACAAGAAACTATTGAACAAAATATTGATATGTAAGCAAAGTTTGTGTGGTTTATTGTTGTGTTTGATGAAATATAATAAGAAAATATACAGGATTGATTTCAAATAACAGAGTGAAGATTTTACTATGTGGTATTTATTTTTGAAAGGGGATATCCTGTAGTTGTTATTTATGAACACCTTATTCTGCTAGTTTATAAGTTTTGACTTTATATCACAGGCCGGAAAATTGTAGCATACATTTTCGTTTTTAAAATTTTAAAGCACGAATTTTAACAATTATGGGTCAACCTATTTAATTCGGTGTGATTTTGTACTAATAAGGTCACCAATGTATTACATAGATGACCAGACAATAGCTGCATCTGCGACAGAATCTCAATCATAACATGACAGGCAGTTTTTACGTTTCGAGCTGTTTTTCAATTTCGACCCGAACTCAAAAGGCTTATCATACAAATTTCGGGAGGTTCCTACTTACTTATACATAGACTCATCCCTTACGGCTTACCTCATCGGCCCAACCCTGTGAAATCCTCTAAAACTACTCAACGATATTGTAGACCACCGAGTGTTTTGCACTTTTTATATTTCGTGTAAGTATTTAAAAACGATTTCTCGAATATTAAACTCCAAGCGAATGATTCTATCTCATTACGACCGAGCGTATGAGAGAAGGTGAGTTTTTATCTAGGTTTCATGACAGAAATCGAACATCCCAAACTCTTTAACGTAATATTAAAAAAAAAAATCACATGTAACAAGGATATGTAAGATGAGAATGGCTCACCTTTAAACCTCGAGTTTGGTCCTATCACAATACACTCGCACACACCAGTACAGATGCTACATACGTACTGATCTGAGACGATGGGACATGCGCAATCTGCACCCGTTACCGCCCGGGGTCGCCCCCCCCCCACCCAACTCAACCTCCCCCTACCAGACCAATGGACCAAACGTGTCACGTGCATTATACCTATATATATACAGGCCAATTAATGGATAAGGGAGTCCTAAAACTTGCAAATTAAATTATTCTTTGTAGCGATTTAACACTAAATTTCTGCAAAAGTGTGATCTTACCTCAGAACATTTTTGCAATGTTATGAGGTCTCCAAAAGTTTAATTGAAACCAATCAAACCATCAACTCAAAAAAAATCCGCTTGTACATCTTTGCAGATCTTTGATTGATTCGAGATAATTGAGAACTGTCGTTCTGATCATTAACCACTCGTTTTAAATGTTAAGACCATAAGCGATTTGAATTCTCAAAATAACCAGCCACAAAACTATTGCACAAGAAAAATTTAAAAAGAAAGCAAAAGTCCCTTTAATCAGGCACTTGAGACCTGGGGCATGGCTGATTCTATGAATGATTTTATTTTATTTTGCAGTTTTTTTAGTAGATTCGGCATTTTTTTACTTTTATAAAAAAGCAAAGATGAAGTTACAAGAAAGTATAATTGAGAATGTTCCCCAAACCCAACTGATATCTAAAAAGATTAATCTAATTGATGCAAACTTAACACTAAAGCCATGGAAAACTCACATAAAATTTAAATTACTTTTAAAGAGGCGATATTGGCTTATCGTTAGCAATCAAATCCGAAGCATTTTGGAGAGACCCAGTTCTAAACAGCCTGTAAAGGACTTTGTTAATTTCATATCCAGTTCAAACCACTACTAAATACAAGGTAACGCATTCTACTAGCTATGTTCCTTCAACGAAATTAACCCGTCACTCGAACTTTTCACATTTAGATAATACCTTAAATTAGCCTCAAACTGCGCAAATAACGTCGAGTATTTTATTTTAGTTACTGCTTTAAAAGTAAACATTGAATATTATCGTTTAACAAGTGTTTCCTCAACAGATAATAAGCTACTAAGCGATGAGTCCCCGAGGTGCATTTAAACAGGTCGAAGTGGAGGATTTATCGTCTTGTTAAAAGGCATTCGTGCTGAACGTTGTTGCGTTTTAATTTATTAATTATTTTCAAGAATTATAAGTTTATTAATCAAAGTTACAAAAATAAAAATTAATACTATTTTATTACGCAATGTTTTAGTTGCAAAAGAACGAAATTAACATGACCCCTGACACTGGAGTGACACTAGGCCTCTTGGCGAGAGAACTAATCACAACGATTGCCGCACCATAAAATAAACACAAAGTTATTAAATTCAACTGTTAGCCTAAAAATCAATCATTAAAATTTATATTATAACGTATTTAATAATGAGTTTTATATTGCCAAGTACAGGTAACAATGCAGATTGTTAATATATCTTTTGTTGAAACATGACGAATATTATAACTGCCAGCGGTCAATATCGAAACTAAAATAAAAATATCAACAGCTCATAAAATAAACCGAAGCAGATATCGACCTGGGCCTGCAAAATGCCACATTTGTTAATCAAATCAACAAAATATAAACACAAATGATATCTTCATAGTGGGGTTTCTTGCAGACCTGTTTTTGCGTCACCTCGGAAGGGTTGGAGGTTATTTAAAAAATGACCAGCTTGCTTTTATAAATTTCAACAATGTAGACATCGGCATACATACAAGCAAACCTTGTTCATATTAGAGTATAGGATTCTATTTAAATAGGAAATAAATTTTATATTTTTAAGTAGACATTTTAGTGTAAATCCAATCAGGCAAATGGAAATTCGCTTAGTCAGCAGGTTTGCTGCGGCGGGGGTATTAAAATATTGTTTTAGATTTCAAGTTAGTATTTATCCTGTAGCATACGTAAACTTACTTTAAGAAAATTATTTATATCTGAAAGGTTTTTTTCGGATATTTTTCAAAGTACAGTATAATTTTCGTTGTTGTGAATAATCGATGAATGTCTTCCATTTAGTTTGGATTTTTTCTTATCACCGCGTATTGTACATATGTCTATAAGTAAGTTCAAAGTAAATTTAAGTTTATAATTTACCATTCCGTTCAACAAGAATGTTTTATTCTTTAGTACGATTAAGTGAGCTATCATTTATTTGAATTATTTATAAGAAAGTGTAAATTTGAGTGTGGTATCTGCTATATACCTTTTTTAAACGTAGCAATACTATTTTTAAATATTTTTATAATGGGGAGAAGCATTAATGCAGTTCATTCACAACCCGAGCCTCCGACAAGTTTCGTTGCTGACGGACATTTTCTAATATATTCCGTCTCAAGAGCTGCTGCCTCGTCGACAATTCTGTCTTAATCTGTAAATACATAAATTACAGAATTGTGCAAATTAGAGTATAGACGTTTCAAACATGTTATAGTACTTTTATGGTTAAATCAATAATTAAACCTATTGAATTTATTGTTTCTTCTTTACACTTCTTTTTAACGCTTTTAGAATTAAGTTTAGCTGCCAAAACACTCTTGCTATTAATAAGTGCCTGCCACGAACCGCCTTAGAACTAGTTTTCATAATTCTTTGTACTTAGAAAACAAAACAAAAGAAAAAGAGAAAAATCTGTAAACTTTGTCTGTAATTTTTTTGGATCTATTGGTCCTCGCCGACAAGTTTTGTAAACTTGGTGAGGCCATGCTTGTAATATCCTAAATAAATATATTTGAATTTGAATTTTGAATTTTGAAACCTGTTGTTCCTTATTTGGTAAACCGTTGCGAAATTGTTATAATTGATATCAAGGATTAACAAGCCTGTAAAAAACTATTGTATTTTAAAAATAATTCCTCTCCTCACGAATTAAAAAAAAACCAATACCATAACATGTTTTGTATAATGAATCAAAACATATTAGACGTAATACAAACTATGTTTCTCTCGCCAAAGAGCGTTGATTCAGCTGCTAAATACTTATGAAGTTCATTAGTCAGTTTAAAATTGTATAGGCCTAATTTATAATTTCTTTACAGCCTGTGGCTTGGACTGAAGGTCCACTCTTCTGCCAGGACAGACTCCACAACTTTACAATGTTTCACAAAATGAAAATCTATTTTGGTTCAACCACTATACAAAACACCCACAAAAAAATCTATTATACTTCATAACATTCTTATTTCAAAAAGGTTTACTGTTATTTTACCATTACTTTTTAAGTAATACAGTACTTTAGAATAGTATAATTTCAGTTCATGACACTCTACACTGATTGTTTTGTTTCACTATCAATTGGTATTGTTTCAACGACATTTTTACCTTCTTTGGTCAGTTCATTAATAATATCTCAATAAGACACGATAGCACAATCATCAGAGGAAATACAAGAGTAGAAATCAACTGGTGTCTTAAACCAAAAGAGTCAGTAAGGAAATTCTCAAAATACTACGTATCTTTTTAAAGTGTTAAAATATTTCACTAATACAACTAGACATTCCATCCCCATGTTAAATTTGTAACCAGTTTTTTTAACCAAAATCGTTGTAGTTGATGTGAGCCACCAACAGATTGTGCTGATCTAAATTACTAATTTATTAAAATGGTTTACATTACCTGCATATAGTAATCCTTTGTTGCTGATTTTGGCAACTAGTTTCGGTTCTTCTGAACCATCATCAGGCCTCAAGGTGTCAAGTAATCGCTTCATTCGAAGGTCGCAAACAGTGTTATGGGTCTAGACTTTACCTCAGCCCGGTCACGATCGATTGTCAATGTCCCTTCTTGTTTTTCGTGTTTTTTGTAATATGTGTCCGTCCCGTGTTATCGTGTTTTGTATATGTTTTATTTATTGAACTCTGTTCGTTAACGACCTTCGAATGAAGTGATTACCATACACCTTGAGGCCTGATGGTTCGGAAGAACCGAAGCTAGTTGTCAAAATCAGCAACAAAGGATTACTATATGCAGGTATTGTAAACCATTTTAAGTATAGTACAGTAATCCGGAGGCTAATCAACTATTTTCCTGATGTCTGTCGAATACACGATCTTTTTTATCAATTAAAACTAATGGAATGACTTATTGTGTGAGCTATAGCAACTGTTATGACCCATGAACTTGGCCAGCAACGAATAATACGGTAGAAAATAGAGTTTTAGTCTTTCTGTGCCTGGCTCACACAACTATGTTCTTTTTTAACAAAAAGTTGGCTACAGCTGATTCATATAGATTGGACGTCTACTTCAGTATCTAATAGTCAATGGTTATAATGATTCAATTAATAACGAAGCGTTTGTCGAAACTCACCTAATAACTTACGATGATTGGTCGGATTGTACCTTGCCTTACTACCAGGGGACCAATCCGCCTTTACATCGACGGGTTTAACATAAAAAGTACCCTAACTTTTATATCTAAAAAGCAAACTGTTTATGGTGGGCGATTCCATCGGCATTGGTATTTGAAAGTGTCATCAGAGTTATGGTAATGCCCGTGTAACGGCGAGGTATTGGCCAACATCAGCGATCTCAGGATAACGTTCCGCAGGACCCACCTTCATTTGGCACACATTCCTCCCCTCTGAACACCATTAACTCCGTGAAAATCTTGTCGCAATACATCCCATTTATATATATTTACGTATAGTGTATCAAAATACTAAAACAATAAACTTGTTTATACTTTTAGTTATACTTTCATGAGATAACTCATGATGGTGGTTTTGGGACACTTGAAGCTAACACGTGTATACTGTATGTTTAAAATTACTTTCTGTGATACATACAATAATCCACTTATGCACTTTATTACTATGTAAATCTCGCTGTGCTAGCCACAGCAGAAATTGAACGAGGATTAGTCGAAAGCAGTCGGGGATATTCTTACTTTTGATTCGATTTGATATTACAAATGGTGAACATACCTTCATATTTTACATTTTTACAGTTAGTTGTAACAATCGTTATACAATAAATCCGGCTATTCCTTAT